TTCTATTTATGATGTATTGACACAAATTTCAAATGATTTTCAACGGTCGCTTTGTCGCATCCAGTGTACTAGACAGACTTTAGCTGTTGCGGCGCAGACACGGTGTTTTACTCACCTATCGAGAAGAAACAAAGCAACCTCAGCGTCCGATCACAGGCTTTCCGCTCCTTGAGTTCTCTCCAGCGCTGGAAAGCTGGTCCGATATTTATACGGGTCCTACTTCTTGCCTTGTTGCCTTAAGCCTTCTTTTGTTCTGCAGACGTTTTCCTCTTTTGTTTTTTATCCGCCATCTCTATCTTTCTGTCGCTCAGCTCGGCTAATGTCCGTCCCGGGCACTGAACGCTCTCTCCTCCACATCATGAGTAGACACGCCCCTTACTGCTGATTGGCTACAAGTTTGTTTTGCTATTCGGCCCGAATCAGTTTTCTAAAGCGTTTTTGAAAAATCGCTTACCCCACCTTTAAGAAGCTTCTTTCAAATGCTAAAACTGTGAAATTGCTAATATTAATTCCAAATGTCCAATAATTCCAAATTATGTAAAAATTTTACAACAACAAAACTTTATTATATCACAAAACAACTAAATTCATTATTCAGCAATCAAATTCACAAGCAATTGAATATAGTCATGATTCATGCTTGATTTACACTTTACATCAAGCAAAATATTGCAATGGAGGTTGCTACTCCAACATAAATGTCTGTCTGTGTTTTCAGATCATCAGCTTTTTCTCGCAGTGCAGAGAGTGTGTGTGCACATGGTAGCAAGATTAAAAAACTTGGCAGAATATGCATCCATTTATGCTAAAATCTCTGATTGGGGGATTTAAACACTTGACATCTGCCAACTCCAAGAATGAAAGCTTGTAGAGGCTTGTTACCAATGCAAAACAGTGAAAATGTAAAATATAAAAAAAATTTAAGTTTTCAAAATATATAGCCATCAGACCAATAATGCAGACAACCACACTTAAGTAACCAACAGAAGCAAAAATCATAATCACCGTTCAAATTGAATAAATTTAATAAGAAATATCCAAAAATAAATTAAATAACATTAAGTTGCCATTTCTTGATGTTACGTCCTCATTATACAGTGATTTGAGGGAGCAATTATTCTCACTGACCAATTTAAGTGCTCAAATGAATTTATTTTAGCATGTTTATTTAATTTCATAGCATCATTCCTGTATGCTACTGTCATGTCAGTTCAAGGAATTTCTAAGTCAAATGTAGTCATTTTCTAGAATAAATTCATGGATCAGCAATTGAACATAACATACACTTCCTTTGTATTAGATACATCTAAAATTACAAGCTATTTCAGCAGATTTAAATTCTAAATAACTTTTATACTACTACTACTACTATAACCAGATTCCATGCACAAACAGAAACCACCAACAACTTTGTTGGGACTGAATACAAGAACGTCCACAGGCGATATGGAAGAAAAGGAACAAAAAGACAAACAAACAGCTCCTGTGTGAAACAGCAACAGCAAAATCCACTTGGACGAATAAAACTCAGCAAAAGCCCTGCATGCTTCTTTTAAACACTTTAAAACAATGGCTGAACAATCGAGATATTGAAGGGAGAAGAAAACATCTAATGCAGAGCTTAACCTTAACACAATGTATTATTATAGTAAATGGAAGGACAGTAAAATGGGCTTATATCCCGTTTCCCTCAGCACTCAGGCCAATCAGTTAGCGCTTAAGACGGGAACAGTTTGAGGCACCTGATTAATCTTTCCCTTCCTTTTCGAAAAACGAGTGACCCTGCAAGGTCACCGGACAAATGTGCTTGAAACAGAGCTGGGACTCCCATTGGAGGTCTCAAACACTTTTCAAATTGGAGTCCGGCACTGCGTTGACACACTGCTTCATCCCAATGATGCCCAGAATGTCTATTATTGGTGGCCTGGCCGTTAAATGAGCAGAAGGTGGATGACCTCTGTGATCTAATAAGCTGGTGTCACAGTTAAAAAGTCTAGTGTGGCCCAGCGCAGGGACAGACGCTTCCCTGAAGGACAGTTACACAGTAATTTGATGCCTCGTCTGCCTCTGATTCTAGTCAATCAACCAGACTGGAGGTGCAGTTGGAGATATCCTGTAGAGGACTGAGCCTCAAAAATCCAAAAACGATCTCTTGCAGACCGATACAAGCGAGAGGGCTTTGAAGCGGGTTCTTTTACTCGATTGACCTGGTAAAATAACGCAACCAAGACTACATATGGCACCTCTTGGATTGGACTGCATTTGTATGCTTAACTTCCTTCTGAAGTAATCAACACAACAATTTATATGCATTTTCATGTTTCTTGAATAAGAAAGTATCTGCTATAGAAGCAAATGTAAACAAAGGCCTGTTTTTTCCCAATGTTATTTCGATCAGTTTTATATCTGACACACAACGTTTTGATTTACATGCAACAAAGGCAAGAACTCTGCGTACAGAATTGCGCGTTTGCACAACCCTGTCCTTCATTTACCCAGACAAAAAGCTGATGTTTTAAAGAGATATCAACAGAGCCCTGTCTTTTGTTGTCATCAAGAAAAATGATGCCTCCATGTGAGAATTCCACCGAGGCTTATTCATATCTCACAGAGCTAGCGCTACTGCACAATAAATGTTTATTAATAACTTCAGAGCACACTGCAGTGATGACTTTTAAACTCCTTGAAGACTTTTTTTCCCTTTTTTGTCAAAATGTAAGAGCATAGTTCCTGTTGGCATTCCTCCCAGCTTTAAATATACATTTATACTTATACTTATCAATATAAAAGGAAAACTGCACAACAGGTTTGGAAACTACCAGGTAAAGAGACAAGGATTCTTGAGGGAAGAAACTATGATCTCTGCATAGACAAAAATTTGGGAGACAAAGAGAGTATGCATCTTACCCAATAATATACCTGCAATCTAGGGGTGACCCCGAATAGTGGACGATTCGATGCTTCGATAGGAGGAGCCTGATTTGACTACCAATCTCACAGTCGAATATTCGCGGGTGTTATGATCATGCCATTTTGGCTATATGGGGGTGCTCAATGTCTAATTTCACATAGAACTACTGGTTTTCTCCCAATAAGTTAATATACAGCCTATTAAGATAATGTTGTAAATAAGAATCTGAAAAGAAAGAAGCTTCAAATAAATATTTTAACGTGCGTGAATAAATCCAACCACTCCTATAGATTTAAGTTTCACTTTCTATAATTCGTGACCGACAGAGGAGCATCTTGGCGGCCGGGATTTAAAACTTTAACAAGACTCAAATTGACACAGGCAGAGTGAAAGACTGGATTTTTTCAATCAGGTAAGGTACAAGAGATTTCAAAACATTTCAGCCGGTTTATATATATCGTGTACATATTTTTTTATCTCGTATAAGACGCAATTGGTTGAGTTGCGCTGCAGAAAAGCACTTCATTGTACGGTGATTATCTCTTCAGCGTGCAGCGCGAGCAGGACAAACAAAAATACAGAATATTAATAACAATGACTGGGACTGTCATTTACATAATTATAATGAGAACACTATTATAATAGTGAACGCGTCCACAAAAGGAGTTCATTCAGAGCCGCGCAGACACGTTTATGCATTCGGGGCATTTTGTGCAGATAGCCTATAAATGTATAAATAACGAAGCGTATTCTATATGAGATAAATGATGAGTTAAATCCCATTGATTAAAAACCTGCTGCTTCATTCTACTGGTCATCTTCAGCACGCGCAGCTCAAAACAGAAATGCAGAACATTAATAACTGCTGTCATATACATAACGTTATAATGAGAGCACTATTGTAAAAAATGTTGTGAATTCTTAGGGTTTCGCTGACGTTTAATGTTAACTATCTTTTAATCAAAATATAAAACATTATTTACCCCGTTTGTACACTGTAAAAAAGCCAACTAACAAAAAGTCCTCCAAATAAACATAAAACAGTAAATTGAACTAAGACATTTTGATTGGAAGTGTTCATGCATGATACTAAGTTGATTCAACAAATTCGTTCCTTAAATGTTAAAAACGTGCAATGTTATGTTGATCTTACTAAGAAGTTTTAGTTTTCCTTAAATCTCGCGATTCTCGTTAGCGCGTGCGCAGTTTGAACAGTGAACGCATGTGCAGTATGAGACTTAAACTACTTAATCGCGGGGTTTCCAGAGTTTGATGCAGGTGAGAAGACAGTGGTTTCCAAAAGTTGTTGGTGAGAAGAAGCGGTTGACAGTGTCCTGCCTAATCAATCCATCTTTTCTGCACAATAACTGGTATGTATTAATCATTTATATAATCGCCTATGTTATTTGTCACATATAATATACTGTGCTCTTCAAAAACTGATGGCGTAATCTAATTTAGCAGTTAACTTACTCATTCGATGCTGATGTGAAGGAGTGGTGTCGTGCCTGATCCATCTCTGCAAAATCATTTGTACGTATTAATAATTTTTATAATCGACTTTATGTTATTTGTCATATATAATGAATATTGTGCTCTTCACAAACTGACGGCCTAATTTCATTTCGCAGTGTGTTTCGGATTTCGCGCACTTTGGGGCCTTTCGATGTTGATGTGAAGGAGTGGTGTCGTTCCTGATCAATCCAGCTTTTCTTTAAAATAACTGGTGTGTATTAATCATTTTTATAATCGAAAATATCGAAAATAATTTTATAATATTTTATTAGTCATGTAATATATCTTGCTCTGTTCCCAAACTGACGGCCTATTCTAATTTAGCAGTGGTTTACTGATTTAGCACACTGAAAAATGCATCAAATGAAATCGTTTTAATAATGGAGAAATTGCGAAAATTATGTAACATTAGAGTATTAAATGAGACGTTTGAGACGTTTGCTAGACAAAAATGTAACTTATAGTAAATGAGCAAGTAAATGAGCACTGTGCACCTCTTTTCCCTCTTTTCAAGAATATTGCTAATGGGAAAAGGGATTTTATTTTAATAATCGTTTGATGGAAAAATCGCGTGATATTAATAATGTAGTATAATGTTACTGCTTTTGTGCCCTTTTGAATAAAAAAAAAATCCATATAAAAATGGGATAAACTGTTGAAAAAATTATGTTTTCACAGCGAATTAGTCCATAGGAGGAAATGCAATGCAGATATTGTAAATTTTCAAATTCTGACCCAGAGGTCCTGGTAAAGCATTACAGGCTTCGTCATGGACAAGGTCATAAAGGAACAAATTGGCCTTGCCTATATTCAGATTGTGTCTGCTCATTCAGGACACAAAGTGCTTTAAGATCGCATTTGTCACGCTGCCACACCCGCCGAACTATTAGGCAAGTTAGCCTATCATTTAAATGTGAGCTGTGTGAGTTTGAAAATGTTTGCAGTGAAAGCATTTTTTTTAGACATCTTAAAGGACATTTAAAAAGGCATGAAACTGTACGGTGTCCTTTTTCTGGCTGTGAGTATAAAACCAACAGGCTTACAAATTTTGCCTCTCACAGGACTAGGAAACACAAAACTCACACAACAAATGATTTAAGAAACTCGGTCATTACTGAAACTGAGAACATTAACACTGATACAACATTGAACTTTGATGATAATGATGACCATGATGCTGGGGAGTCCTCACAG